AACACACACACCGCCCCAACCTCTGTATCCTCTGCATCTCGTGTCAAACAAAAACCTTTCCTTGTCAGCAGCGGCCCCAGCAAAGCTGGCCCGTTTTTCAGTTTTGTCTACTCACTCTAATGGACCAGCGTGCGTGTCTGTATGTGATCTACCTGAGCGTGAAGCTCACTGTATCGCCACCGCCCGCTCTTGCCGAACTGACCCCCACCATTTTTTCCATCGCTTTTATCTCCACAGGAACCCGGAGCACGTACACAAAGGAAGGTCTGTCCCTGTCTCACCCTACTTCGCTTACAACCTCCATAGTTGCCTCTGTGTTCCTCATCCTCAGTTCCGCAGTATTCGTCCTTTTTCTTCTGCTCTTCTTCCCTTTCCCCCTCCCTGTGTTGTGTAAACCTTTCGTTTTCACGTTATAATTCTCCCCTCGAAGTGTTTTCCCTCGCGTCATTATTGGGGGAGTAGACATTAATAATTTCCCGACTCATTTTGTTTGTCCAAAAAATTGGAGCGAGCAGAAAAAAGGATACCTTGAACTAAAAGTATTGTTAAACTTTGGGTATTAACCAGCACAAAACCCTTCCACACAAGGACAAGTATTGATGCCAGTAATGATCTACAGTTTGGGCCGCAAAGGAGGAAGTCATTCTTTTTGTTTGGGAAAAAATGAACAATGTAGGGGATGAATGTTTACTTGACAATATTGACGGATAGACACTGGCCCCCTTTTTTTTCTTTTTGTTTTTTCCCCCTGAATATTCGTGATCGTGAGGTTCGTTTTGATTTTCGTGTCATGCGTTTTGCTTTTTGTCTTATTTTCTAATCTTTATGACTGGTTCATGCAAGGACCATTGTTTATCCTTCTCTGTTTTCTTTCATGCTTTTACCTTCCCAAGGTAACCCTTATTATTTTTCGTCCTCGTTGTTTCAACGATGTCGTGCGCTCACTGTTATGATGTTTGGATATTCTCAGTATTGTCAATTTTTCTGTACTGTTTTTTTTTAAAATCATTTTTTTTGCACGTGCCTTCACTTTGTTTCTGCCACCTTGTGTCTTCTCGTTCGTATTTCACACGTTCGTTCTGCATCTCTCTATCGCACTCACTTGTCGTGCCGTGGTTATTGAAGAGCTCACGATCAAGAGGGTATACTTGCATTCATTCCCGTGAAAGAACGGATGACGACTGACATGTTTTAAAAATTTACACTTTCGTGTTACCCTTAAGGCCAAGCACATGTGTACAGAACAACGTCCTGCTATATTTCATTTTTTTTCGTCCTCGTGTCCAGGCTTATTTTGGCAGCAGTCTGTTTACTCAGTTAGTCTCGTGCTGGACTCAGAAGCTGGCGACCCTCGTTTGAACCATCTGGAATTGGGTCTTCTTAGACTTGGGCTGTTCGATGTATTTTCTTGGCCCTTCACCCTGTTTGCTTGGTCCTAGTTCCTATGGGAGATGGACACCGAGGAAGGTCCCGCCTCTTGAATAACTTGTTTTGTGTTGAAGGATTGTTGGGCACATGCTCCATTATCATTGTTAACAAATGGCTATTTTGCCTTCTGCGGCTGGGCTTCCTGCCCGGCTCACCTACTGTATCTCTCTGTCATGTGTATTCCTTGCTCTTTCTTTCGTTTCTTCCCTCGTATTCTGTTCGATGAGTAAAGACGTTTTCGGTGCGAAAATGTCGCCCGATTACATCATGTCCTACTTGGCTGTATGTCTTCTTACAGCACAACATCGTTAGGTAGTAATGGCTGTGTACATCCACTTTAGCAGGCCCTGTCCGCTCACGATACCCTAACTGCTCATCACAGGATGGTGGTCAGTGAGCACTCTGATGTAGCCTGCTCTTTCTACTTTTTTCTGTGCTTATCTTGTTCTGGTCGGTTTCTTGCGAAGTTTGACCATTATAGTGCCACCCGTCCCCACCCCCCTCCCTCCTCCCCTTCGTCCGGTACAATATGGCCATCCCTTAAGAGTATGATCATGAGATGACACGTTTCGTTCTGCTCACTGGCTGATCCTTCTACACACCTGAATGTGGCGGATTGTGTCGACTATGCTGATTCATGCAGAAAGCCGATGCTCTCATCACATCAAAAAGGAACAACACATCCTTTTTGGTCCCCCCCCCCTTCTTTTTAGATTTTTTTTCTTCTTTAAAAGGGAAAGGTTTAAGGGGGGGGGGGGTCGTGTATTACTCCCACTTAAAGACGGGATGGGATGTTGTTGAACTGATCTAGAGATTTGTCATTCCGTAGGAGCGTTTCACTACTCTCTCTCTCCCCCGCCCACTTGTTTCTCCTCTACACGTGCCAAATCCAAAACCCCACCCGCCCCTTTCCCTTTCCGCCCAGGATTTTTACCGTGCACTCAGCGTTTTGGATGTTGGTGCAATCTCAGCTTTACCTGTCAAAAACAAAACGGCCAGACCTGTTGTTTTGTTCTGTTGCACTCTTGCCTCCCCTATTTCCCCCCTTTTATCGTAGTGTGATTTTTTACAAGAGCGGTAGCGCTGTTTATCCTGGCAAAAGACTAATGTTGCATTTTTTAAGGAAGTTTTTCTTTCAACCATTTTGTTCATTTTTTCATGGGTTGTTGCTTTTTTGTGGTATTTTGAGCAACACCCCTGAATAGACGTGTGCCGAGCCATTTTTTAAGGTGCACATGCCGTGTTGTTTGCTTGAGTGTGCGTGCGTGCGTGTGATATGTTGTATTTGTCGTGTGGTCTCCCCGCTTTATGTGAGTAGTCACCTGTGCCCTTGCATTGTGTTCCCCTATTTCTAGGAATCCGAAAGCGAAAGTAGTGAGCCCCCAGAGCCACCCATGGAAAACGCTAGGCTAAAGTTTGAAGACCCGGAGAAGGTTTGTCAGTCTGCTCAGTTCACAGCTGCGGAAGAAGGCCTCGTGCCCGGCACGCATGGCTTTTTCTCTTTTTTACTACAATCTTAACACGTTGGCCCCACCTGCTACTACTGTACTGATCTCTGCATTGGCAAAAACCACACCACTAACTGTTTAACCCACCTGGGAAGGAACACATCCCTCAGTTAACCTCTCGCGTTCCACACTGCACATTTTTCTATCTCATAACTATGATCATGAATCATGTATATATATATTTCTAATACAAGGTCGTTTGTGAATGCTTTAAACTGGAAATGAGTTAGCACTGGAACCCCTTTCGTAACAGATTACTTCAAAAATATTAATTTTTGTTTTTGTTTGCGCAGAAATAGAAGTTTGAAAATTAGCTTTGCGTAAAGATGTTACCCCATTTTCTTTTCTTTTTTTGTTTCCTTTTTAAATTAAAAACAAAATGAGAACAAGCAACACCCAGGGTAAGTTTTGCAAATGCCATCCAGCAGAAACTGATGAAGACCGTTAACCTCCAAGGAGGACGGTACGTTATAGACCTTGCTAGCTTCCGTTAGTCACCAAACAGAAATACGACCACGGGTAACTGGGTGAGCTTGTTTACCTAACATTAGGCGAGGCTTGGATTATACAAGAGGGAAACATAGTACGATGAAAGGTTGGCTCTCTGATTCGTTTGGCAGCACGAGGAATGATGTGCTGAACTTTTAGCAAGTCCGCGGAAAGGCGCACATGCTTTTTGTTCTGTTGGTATCGTGTTGAACTTTAATGTGGGCGGCCTCCAACATTTACAGTGAGGGGTAGCCAAAAGAAGATTGTCACTGAGAGTGTGGGTTCCAGTGCTACCTGTAGACGATAGCTCTCTCTTTCTCTTTCTCTCTCTGTCTCTCTCTCTCTCAAACACACACACACACATACACACAAACACATACTTTCTCCCC